GAGATCAGTGGGTGTAACCCTATGCACGCACATTATTTTTTCCAGGACTTGTGACATACGCCCTCTATTGGGCCACCATAATCACCAGCCATTTTTATAAACAGTCAGTCACGACGGCATATTATGACGACACGACGTGACAGCACGACACGACGATGCGACCCGTTGCGACAGGTCAATGACACGACGCGACAGTACGACGCGACGATACAACGCCATGGCAAGACATCAGGACACGACGGCCTAACCCACACCGCATAAAACCATACAATGACAGGCGACGCGACGGCACGGATACGACGGATACGACGGCACGACGCGACGCCACAACGGCATGACGCGACGGCTAAACAGCACGACACAATGTATTAAAAATAGCATAAGAGTAATGAGAAAAGAGGCGACGCCACGACATGACGGGACTGTCGCGACGGGGCCGTCGTAACGTCCCGTCGTGGCGTTGCGTCGCAATTTTATAATTTTATTTTATAATTTTCTGTAAACAACATACAAAAGAGCAAAGAGGATTAAATACCTCCTTTGTCTGGATAAGCCGATTTGCTGGCGAGCCAAACCACACTTAAGCCTGATTTCCATACCAACGTAAAAAACTCAGAGAACACGTAATCAAGACGTAAACTGCAACGCGGACAGATGGAAACATGCCAAACGGAGGTGTCGCCGACAACACAGACAAACACAGCCTGCAAACGATCGACAAAGTTAAGTCAGGTTTAATTTAACTTCGCCGACAGGCTGCGTCGAGTAGCCGTTGTGTCCCCATACAAACACTCATGCTGGCATGACCGGCGTGCAACGATGTCACTCTCGCTTAGTTCCACCAATTTTGCCCATTTTCTACTTATCGCTTAAATATTACAACCCAGTGATCAACTGAATAGCTGACCGTCAATGAAATGCATGAAACTGGAGCAGAGGTTAAGTTGGCATCATGAGGCGGTGCAGTCCATCTAGAGGCACATTTCTCGTAAAAAATCACCCAGTTTCGGACGCCATTTTGTTTCAATTTTAAGGTGGAATGATGTCGTGCATCGTTTCTTCCGTTCATGTCTGCGTTTTCACGTATTGCGTTCCGTCTGCGTTACAAACGACCGTATGGAAACCAGGCTTTACAAAGTTTAATAAGGTTGCAAAGACCCCACGTTCTACAAATTGTTCATGCTTACTCAAGCGAATAATCTGGAAGCAGAGTCAGACCCCTTGCAGAATGCAACTTTTTTTAAAGCAAGCACACATTTGTTCTTCTGTCGTGCCAGGGGGTTGGGTTGGGTTGGGTTGGTTTGGGTTAGGTTGGGTTGGGTTGGGTTTGTTTGGTTTGGTTTGGTTACAAAATTACTCTTTAACATACAAGTAACTGAACGGTCGGTTTTGTAACACAAGATTCAGTGCTTTTTATCACATTAATTTTCATCGAGGTTTTACATGCATGCATGGTCTGTTTTACTGTCCCATTTTGCATTTATAATCAAATCAATGGGCTATATCGTAGTTTGGGCTTGTGCCAGACATTAAAAAAAAAAAAAAGAAAACAAAAAAAAGCTTAGGATAACAGGAAGTGCCTGCCGTGCTTTCCAAAAGGTTGCCAATACGGTGCCAAGTATGCGCCATCTGCGCTAAATTCACGCACACCCTGGCGCGACACCAACAACTTGAACTGCTGTCAGACAGCTGCAAAAGGTCGCTAAGGTCGCAGTCATTTTGCCCCATGTCTGATTATTTTAGCGCCCTCTGTAGCTTCCTGTCATCGAATTAAACGAATTATACAGTTTTGTTACTACATGTAGGGTGCAGACTATAATTCAAGTGAGAATTTCTGGCCAGCTCATTAGCATTAAAAGTGCCCCCGCAGTATCTTTTGAACAAGGAGATTGTTTGGCCCCCAAAATGGTAAAATTGTGTAAATCTTTGCCAGCATACACTCCCGGGGTCTTTAAGCTTTCATGTGAGAGCAGGATGGCTAAAACCTACGGTAGAAAAATGGTCCCCAGGGCCCAAGAAAGTTGAGGATTGCCCCTTGAAAAATGGCTGCAATCAGACTTCGGAAAATCATTTTTTAGGGATGATTCTGTTTTGTGGGAATAATTAAAAATGTAATTGGTTAACCCACAGAAAACTGAAAAGAAATTGAAAGATTAGTGACCAGACAAGAATTTTATTTGTGTTTCAGAAATCTCAGGGATGTTGGCGTGCATGTTATTGCGCCCTGAACAGTGCTGATTTTACACTGTTTTCAATGGAGCTTGAATAAGTGAACTGTACCCTGCATGTATCAGACTATGCTACTATGTTACAAGGTGTTATGCCTTTTTAACGTTGGAACCCGCTTTCGTTAAAAATTACGACGGAGCAAATACTGGATGTTAGCTTTCCGATGCCAATTACTAGTGTAGCTGTTTGATTACAGTAATGAGTAAGTGGTCCACTTTATTATGCAGTGTAAATTGTAATGCTGTCGTTTTCTAAACATTTGCGCTTGCAGAGAGTGAGAGAGAGGCCGAGAGGGGGGCATCACCGTGAGCATCTAGCGTAATAAATTTCGTATCTTGCCTCATCTAGGCGGCTTCCATTATATTCAAGTAACATGCATGTATGACCCATGCTGCGTGTAATTTATTGAAAGCTGTAATAATTAGTTGACACCCAACATTTTGATTTTATGTCAAGATCAGAGTCACACAGGAGTGAAAATTTTGTCGCTGCCCGTCGCAGAGATTTCACGTGTCTAGAACTGATTGAAGGAAACACCTCGATAATGACGTGTAAGGAAATGTCCAATAGGCCTATTAGGACTGGTAATAAACACTGTTGTTGCAACCTGACAAGAACTTAGGTGATTATGGCATCAAAACGTGTAGTAATTTGTGGCCGTTGGCATATCACCTTACTCACCTTTCGCTCTGAATAGTGTTCACACACACACATTTATTTCCTCCCGTGGCAGAAATAATAAAAATAAGACAAGTCTAACAGATAACAGAACATTATGAAACCATGGAGGTAGGAATATACAACGAAAAGAAGGTTAAAAAAATAGGTGGACAAGGGCGGAAGTATTTCTATTTATTTTCTACTAAACTCAACACTGTTAAATGGACAGTAACTTCCCAAAGTATTTAAGTCTGTTTAATTGGTGCATTGTACAGTGATGCTGTGATTTTTCCTCCTTTGTTGTACTGTGTCAGGTCTGTGCACTTTCTGGTGATGTTCTTGCTTAACTGCCAGTATGGGGGATCTTTGTTGTTGCCTTGGCTTGTAACCGTGAAATGACCTTCCGGAATGTCGCTTCGCCGCAGGAAGATATACCGAAACCATCGTTATCGCATGCAGGGAAAGCATGCTTGGAAGGAAATCCTTGAACTAGATGGGCGGAAAACTAGTCGAAGAGCCTGAATGAAATAGAAGTAAGTTATTCCAAGTTGCATAATACCGCGGCGCCATAATTACACCCGCAGCGTCGTTTTATTTAATGGACAGAAATTCACTCGGTCGCCGCAAAAATCTACACCATATGCTGTCCTTGTCCTCAATTTCAACCGGTCGTCTGGTGCGATCGCCCTATTCTGCAGGCGGGTTGAAGTTCGCTGTGTCTGTCAGGCTTGTTCAATTACCTTCAGAGCCTACTGATATCAGTTCCTCAAAGTAGTTTTTGAAGGACTAGTTTTTATACCAATGTAAGCATCTTTTAAAAAAACAGCAGCGAATCAAAGGACAGAGGAGTTTTGAAAAATGTGAAACTTTAAAAAACGCCATTAACCCCCCCCCCACCACCACCACCATACGAAAGTAAGCACCGTATGTGTGCCACGATAAGTATACCGGTATGTGTTACCTGTAGAAGTTGAAGACTCGGTTGATAAACCAAAATTTTACTTTTTCAAAGTAGGCCTACATGTACATGGATGATTCTCTGAAAAGCGCTCTTCGAATGCATGTATGTGTACATGTACTGCGATTCAAAACAATGTTTACACTCATAAAACTGATGGATTTTGGATTGTTTGCATTGTTACTTTCGCTGGTGGAGCTTACTGAAAAAGGCACAATGTGTGAAATGTTGTGTCATGATCAATCAAACTAAAACGAACATATCATGATGAGTTTGTCGGCACCCAGTGTTCTTTTTTTGACAGAAATACCACCAAAATCACAACTGTACTCGTTGATACCATTTTAACAATCCGTAATGATATTGAAGAAATGGGGTTTGTAAAAATTATGATTTACGAAATCATCAGTTAGATTTCAATTGATTATTTTTATATTATTATTTATTTTTTTAACAATTGTGCTGTTTGCTTAAAATAGTTGTTTTAGAAATAAATGAAATTTTGCAGGTTGAAATACAGACGTGGTTTAAATTAAACAACCCTGCTTCCATTTTAATATTCGAGAAACCGTCCTCATTGCTGTTATCTTTTACTTTCAGTAAGAGTTTTACAATTCACAGACACAAAATATGTCATTGTAAAATATGTGTTTTTCTCAGAATATCTTTCCGCAAATGTTTAATTCGCATTTAAAAAGTCAAATATCCATTCGTTGACCTCTCCCGCAAGTTACAGCAAAAGTTTACTGTTTAAGTGCACGAACTATAGTCCTGCAATAACAGTTGGAACGCACCGTGGGGCGGGATTAAAGGTTAAGACTTTTGCAACTTTACAAGAATGTAGGGGTTGTCTGGGAAGCGCTTAATGGAATGATCTGCTGGTGTTTGTCATAGAGTGATTCATGTGAAACTTTAGCGCATACAAGGAGTAAAAGACTATACAGTGATGTAAGTATTAAGATGTCCCGTCTAGAAAGTGATGCCAAGAGTTAATTTAGTTCCACGAGGAACTTATGTTCAGAAGCTTGTTTTGCTTGGTTCCCTCCGCCACAAATCTGGTCACCTCCCAGCAAAATGAGACGTCCGATGTTGCTCCACTTCTCTGGGCTTTGATTCGCTGATTAAAGTTGTAGTTCAGCTGTCTGGGTACGTCGGATTCGACCGGCAGGTACATGGGTGCATTTACTTGTCCTCTTGACAAGGTGCACGACGGGCTAGGGCGCGGGACAGAACTCGGCTAGCTAAGGAGAGTGGTTACTACCCCAGGAAAACCGGACGGCGCGCTGGCACTGCAAAGGGTACAGTGGCATCGTCTGGCTGCCTCAGGTGTAACAAGTTCTTATAGGACTGGACTTTGTGGAGTTGATAGCCGGTTGACAGAAGAACTTAGGTCTTTGAAGAGAACACATCTTCAAGTTTCAGCCTTGTTGGTTTGGAACTCATGTCGTGGTAGGAGCTAGCATCAGAATTATCGATCCCCTTTTTTGTAAGGATGGGTCGGACTTTTGTGCGATATCCCTACATGATGGGCGCCTTCACCCGCATAGTTATCGGCCTTTATCTAACTCTCCTATCAGTAAATCTAGCTACTTCTCAAGAAGTATTTGCACTACCACCAGGTAAGTAAACCGAACCGAACAATGCATCACAGAATGTGAAAGTTTTGAACTGTAGAGCCCAAGTGTGCATTTTGTTCGCCGATGGTCGTATTTGTTTACGTTGCAAAAAGTTAATCTTGTTCTGGTGCGTGGGTGCCGCCATGATGGATTCTGTCAAAATTCACGGACAAACGGTGTCACGTCATGTGTAACATTAATACGTTAGTGGCAGAGCGTTATTGAGGAAGGCTAGGTGTCATTTGGAATCCCATCCCAGTTCATTGCTGGCAAGTTCATTGATCGTTCATTTGGGGATAATATGAATTGTCACTTTATCAATGGTATAGATCAAGGAACTTGGGGGAGGATAACAAAAACAGGGCTGAGATGTTAGAAGCAAGCAATAACAGGGGTTTCCTGTGAAATTCGAGTCACTGTCCCATCAAGTTGACTTTTTTCCGAATATGCAGCTGTTTTCAACACAGTTTTTTATCCATTTGTTAAAATTGCTGGTTTCTTAATTGGAATAGCAACATCAACTTGTAGTTAACGGCAAAACAGATTGTTACGGTGCTTGTAGAGGTGTAATTATTGATAGCGTGATCGCAAGTATTTTCTTGTCTTTTTCAGCTTAAGTTGGGATGGATTTTGTACACATAGGGCCATCAAAAATTTGTCAAGTTTTAGACCTTCGTGATGGGTTACTTTGAATTCTTGAATAAGGGTTATTTGAGGGTAATTTACTTGTGAGGATAATTTCATTAGCCATCCGCTAAAATTTTAAGTAGCATGTAAATGGATATATTGTAGTTTCACTTTGTATTTTACGAACGAGGAGCCTTTTCATCGGCATTCTTCATTGGCTTCGAAGGGACTAGCCTGTGTGAGGAAATGTAACCACAGCATGTCTTGCTCGTGCACATGTATGTACATGTACTGTACGTGTACTCCTCACCACAGTTGCGCACGTTGCGCCCCAAAGTTGGGTCGAAACACCCTCACGCGCCTGCGTGACCCTATGAGGACACTGGGAGTGTTTACGTAATGGGCATATTTGCGGTTCCGGGCGTAATTCAGCCACTCACAACATATCAATGAACAGGCATCGCAGTCCTACACGAGGCCACGTCTGCACCATAAGTCGTCTTATTCTTCAGGCATGGCCAAGAGTCACATCCAAGACAAAACACCCAACTTCTATAACCTATAACCGTTTGCTTGTCCCCACTGCCTTGGGCGCTGCAAGAAGGGCAAATGTGTTTTAATTTGTTTTAAAGGCAATACGTCACAGCTATGGACACGCACAGCATTGTGGGTTACTTGCTGTCCGAATCCTTCGTTCGTCACCCAGCGCCCGAACAGGGTGAAGGGCTGATGGCTTTGCAGAGATATTAGCGAAGGTAATAAGTCACACGGGGTCACAGCATTGTCACAGCACATCACATGGAGTCACAGCAATGCACTCATCATTTCTGCAAGGCGCACGAGTTCGCTCAATGCGCTGCACAAGCGGCAGTTATCAATTCGATATTTTTCCTTTTTTGCTTATTTCTGAAATATTCTCACAACGGTTTGTTCATTCATCCAAAATTGATCAAAAGAACCAATGATTTGAAATTTATCGCCAAAAGACATGTTATCAGTGATACATGTAGGCCCTACTTACTCACCTGCAGCTCATCTCAACATTTGAAGCGAACTATGGGACAGAGAGACCCCCCCCGCCTTTGTGTTGGCCATTGTTATACGGGCGGGGATGTGTTAAGTGACAATAGGCTGGAGCATGTATAGGGATTGGACTTGTGGGAGGGGTACCTCTCTGTCCATTTCGTGCCTAGTATACATCTCAGTCTGAACATGGATCCTTCCTCCATGGTCTGAAGGGGCGAACTGTAGCAATGACTGAAGAAATGGCCACAGAAAAATCGAGGGTCACTGAAATGTGTAATGGGTGTGCTATACAGTGCTTGTAAACTACATAATTATAAATAAACTAAGCCAATAGAGTCTCAGCATTCCGCCATATGTGTGGCTGTAAATCGCTGGTGGCTTAATTTATATTACAGTTGGTTCCCGGTAGCTGGCATCTTGTCTGCAGCCCAAAGGTGACATATCGTGCAGAGTGGTCCTGGCGCCGGACTGCCAAGTTGACGCCATACGTGCTTTTTAGTAAATTTGTTTCTGATTAGACAACCATAATGTTCGTTAAAAGCGAAGCCTACAAGGTCCACTCAATTTGGCATGGTCTTTGTAGAAAGCAAAAGAAAGATTTGAAGTTTGCACATCAATAGTGCTTTTAACTTACATTTTTCTAGAACCGTTACTTATAAACATTATAAATAATCTTTCATTTCCAATAGCCTATATTCCTTTATTTTTATCCAAATACTTTTCCCGACAGTCACCGGTGGTTTATACATTAAGTTTCGAATCAGATTTTCAAACCCGAACATTTTTATGGCATTAATGCGTAGCAGCTGTCACTGACTGTCGAATTTTCTGTGGGGTAATCCAACATGTAGCCTCCCCACGGGTAGTTCATTTGACTCCTATTACACTCCCTGCAACGCTGTCTAAGATGGCCCTACGCAACCACATGATGCCCCGCCCGGTTTCACATGGCTGGGGTATGGCGTGGTTCTTGTACAGTATTCTTCGGGTAATTACACTGAACGTGTAGTTAAAAATTCAAACGAGAGTTTATGAGTGCTCCAGTTTTTGCTACCGAGTGGGTCAAGTAAAGGTCGCATACTTTGCCTATTATATAGTTACGGGCCACTGCGACTGAATATTGACCACATCTTACAAGTGAAGTACACTACACTTTGGAAGGGTTGCATCTCTAGCAAAACGTGAACCAAATTCTACATTGGGTGATAATATATTAACTAAAAAAATCTAAATCTGAAATCTGGTTTGTGCACTCTTATGATCTACTTCCTTTGGCAGTTTAATAGTTAATTGTTTGTCACCCAGGATACTCGAAAGGGGCGTAACGTCTCTCAAGACTCAAAGGCAACAACAGTTCTCATGGTAAAATATGGAATTAATGAAGCCTTGGCGTTTTGGTTTGTGATATATGTATACAGGAACGCCAGTTCCATGTATTTAGTCACTTTGTCAGAACTCCAGTGTATGAAGTTACTGCCTCTGGAGACCATGCTCTAGTTATTCGGACAGTGTTATCTTTGTGTGTCCTCCTGCATTTGTCTTTAACAAAATACACAACCAAGAAGGAATATTTTCCAATGGTCGAAGCGAGAGCGATGAGCATTATTCTTCAGTTCTCTTTCAAAATAAGGCCAAACTATAACCGGTCCCGATGATAGCTGCTGGTCGTAATTCTCTCTACCCTTTTGTACAGTTAGTTTACATACATGATTACGGCATATATCACTGGTGACCTTGTCAGCCAAGAAGCCAAGGCATGGGGGTTCGGGGTTACCCTCCTCAATAGAATGGCTGAATCAGCATCAGCTCCCACCACCGCCATGTCCTCGACATGTGCCTGTTGCGGGCCAGTGAATGAACACATTCTGCACCCTAATCGCAGCTCGCAACGCCGTTAACCAAACAGTGCGTATCCTGATTTGATTTTAAAAAGGGCTATTTGCTAGCTGACAAATTCTATTGTTTCTTAAGTGTCGTACTTGTAAAATCCTGTGAACTGCTGTTTTCGGCATGTGTCTAAAAAATATAATCTACAGTACGTTGAAAACTAACCGTTCGTACTTAGTCTCTTTAAATTGAACGTGAACGGGGAAAGGACAAGAATTTCAGAAAGGACTTAGTCAGGTTGACAAAAAAAACTAAAAATCATTTACAAACTGGTTAATATCAGTATCTGTATTGTAAACTTGTTTGCTTGTCTAGAACTCACTATTTTATTCCAACGGTCTACCGTAGATATTTCGTTGGTGGTTTTAGGCCTGTTACTAATATTCAAACAAAATCATTCTGACTTCCACACTTTTTTTAAGAACTTATTACCATTAACAAGTCGGTTTTTAATTAAATTTTTGCACGCTCCGTTTTAAATGAGTGCATTTAAATGGTAAATTCCCTTTTCGGTCCCATCATGCGGTTTCATCCACTATTCTCAGTGGATTTAGAAATGGCGGTAAGACTAAAGGAATATTTAGTGTAAGCAGATAAAGCAAACAAAAAGCAAGCTAACGGGTGCAGCAAAGTGACGACAGTTCGTTCGCTGCGTGCGTCAAGTACAGGTTGCAGTTCGCAGTTTGTTTACATGTTGGTGTAACATCCCTACGATGTACTAACTGCATGATTAACATACGTGTTCATTGATTAACTGGCGATGACCTAATGTGGTCGTTCGACTTCAATTTGTATCGTAAGATAAATGACTTGTCTTCTTTATTCTAAACACGGTATTGCTGTTGTCGAGTCATTTCGGCATCAGCTCTGCATCAAGGTGAAAGTGCTATATTTTAATATGTAGGATGTCACTGATAATAGGTTTATATCATCAGGTTCACGTTACAAGTAATTTTGTATATATATTTTTTTATGTGGTATAATACAATACCAGATGGCATTTGTCATTGTTTTTGCAACGTGGGCACCTATTTTTACCTCTGTGTCGCGTCCCATGTCCGTAGACGACCTTCAGAATCGCGTCGGTGGTAAATTGTTTGCCAACAGCTGGCCTCCAGATTTTGAAGGGGTGAAACAACGGTAGTACCGCTACAGCAGTTAGTAATTAGGGAGCGCTCGATCTCAGAAATATTCTGAAAAATTCAATCACGGTTTTTCTTCGAGGTGGCTTCTCCGGGAACAGTGTATTGACTGACAGGAAAAATAGACCCGTTCTCGGTAAAGTTCTTGGGTGAAATTGAACAAATGTAACATGATGCTGGGCAAGGCCTGAGCACTGTTGGAGAAATTTCAGCCATGACGATCACTCGGTCGTCGTTGGCTTACCCGTAACGCTTTATTTCTGCTCTACATGGAAAAAAAAGAAAGTAAAGAAAAAAGAGACACTGAAAGTGAAGATGCCG